TCATTACAGACGGAGGCATGATTTTTGTTAATGTACTTCAAAGTAGGAAGAGTGGTTGTTGTATTGGGGTTAGGGTTTTGGGACGATTGTCCCGAGTTAGCAGTTTTCCTCTTTTTCCCAATCCTTAACGAACTCATGACTACTCTTTCTTTTTTTTCAAACACAAGCCAACTTCGGCTAATTCCAACCACACCCCCACAAACTACAATGTACCTGTTTTAATAATAATAGTAATTCAACAACAACCAAGTATGTCCACAATTTTGACACCAATTTTCACCGAATCAACAAGAATATCTAGCAATAATTTCAACAATAATCAATTGAATCTCAAAATTAATCTAAGATAATCAAATTCCTTGCTTAAAAAAATCTATCAAAGGAGAATAATTAACAAAGGAAATTGAATACCTTTACCCTTATGCGAGTGAATTGTTGTTTGGTGTCGAATTGTTGAAGGGAAGAAGATGAACTTGAGTGTGATGGTGAGAAGCGCCGCGGTGGTGATGATGGAGGAAAATGACCTTGAAGCTTGCGTGAAGATGGAGTAAGTGGATTTGAAGGATGGGAAAGTTAGGGTTTGTGAGTTTTAGAGAGAGAGAGTGAGTGAGAAGAGTGTTTTCTGTTTTTGAGAGTGAATGGAGAAGTAAGGGGGTTTCGGTGTTGAGGAGTCCTTCACTCGTTTTTTTTTTTCTGAAGTCGCAACAAGCACGCCCGCTCCCGATAGAGACGCGCCCGCTCCAGATAGAGACGCGCCCGCTCCTTAACGACACGCGCCCGCGCCTAAGCTGAGGGATTTTTGAATAACTTTTTCAGATCGGACGGCGCGCCCGCTCCTCTTCCGCGCTCAAATCGCGCCCCTTACTGGCTTTTCTAAAGATTTGGGCATCAGATATGGCGCACCCGCTACGTAATCAGCGCGCCCGCGCCACCTTCAGATGCGCGATCTCTCCTCATTCGCACACAAACCGCGCACCTTACTGACTTTTTCTTCCAATTTCAGCCCCTAGATGATGCGAGCCCGCTCTTGATTTGGCGCGCCCGCTCCGAAACTGAGGCGCAACCTTTCCTCTTCCGCGCTCAAACCGCGGACCCTTCTGTTTTTTATCATTCAATTTGAGCCCCTAGATGAGGTGCGCCCGCTCCTGGTTAGGCGCGCCCGCGCTACCTTGCAGCGCGACCTCTCCTCTCAATATATCGCTTTTGCTTCAAATCTTCTCTTTTCTCTAAAACACTTCCCATAACACCTACATCACATTATACAAGAAAAGAGTTAGAGAGATTATACTAAGTGGTTTAAAAGAAAATAGAATAAAAAAGGTTAGAAACCGGGTTGTCTCCCGTAAGCGCTTCTTTAACGTCACTAGCTTGACGTACTTCACACCAAATCACGGCGACTTAAAAACATCAATGAGAGATAAATGCTCTGGCTTCTCAATTAGTTGACCCTCATAGTATGGCTTGAGACGGTGCCCATTCACTTTGAACGGAGGGTACTTGTCATTGAATATTTCAACCGAGCCATAAGGAAAGGCTTTGGAAACTTGAAATAGCCCACTCCATCTAGACCTCAATTTCCCGGGGAAGAGCTTGAGTCTTGAATTTTAGAGTAGGACCTTTTGTCCTTCCACAAATTCCTTCGTGGAAATTTGAGCGTCGTGACACGCCTTGGTTCTTGCTTTGTAGAGGCTTGCACTATCATATGCGTTCATTCTCAACTCTTCCAACTCATGAAGCTCTAGAAGCCTTTGTTCACCCGCACTATGGAGATCAAAGTTGATTCGCTTGATTGCCCAATACGTTCAGTGTTCCATTTCTACGGGTAAATGGCAATTCTCCCATAAACAAGTTTATAGGGAGTGGTCCCTATAGGAGTCTTGAAGGCTGTCCTATAAGCCCACAAAGAGTCAATGAGTTTGGAGGACCAATCCTTTCTCGTTCTTTCCACCGTCTTTTCCAAAATGATCTTAAGCTCCCTATTAGTTACCTCCGCTTGACCACTCGTTTGAGGGTGGTAGGAGAGCCCTCGCTTATGGGATACACCATACTTATCAAGAAGTCTAGCAAAAGTGTGATGCTTGAAATGTGACCCTCCATCACTAATGATAGCCCTAGGGACACCAAACCTCGGAAAGATCACCCTTTTGAATAAGTTCACAACCACCTTGGAATCATTTTTAGGAGAAGCCACGGCTTTTGCCCATTTGGAGACGTAATCTACGGCTACCAAGATGTATTTGTTCCCATTAGAAGAAATGAAGGGCCCCATGAAGTCTACTGCCCATACATAAAAAACTTCAAGCTCAAGGATGGGGTTTTGAGGCATTTCATCCCTCCTAGAGATGTTCCCCACTCTTTGACACCTATCACAAGTTTTAACAAATTGCCAAGCATCTTTGAATAGAGAGGGCCAAAAGAGCATACATTGCAAGACCTTGGAAGCGGTCTTTTGAGCACTCATGTGACCACCACAAGGGGATGAGTGGCACATTGAGAGCACATCTTGGAACTCTTCATTAGGAACACATCTTCTCAAAAGTCCATCTACCCCTCTCTTCAACAACATAGGGTCATCCTATATATACTTATTTGCTTCATGCTTGAGCCTTCGATGTGGTTGAGGAGTGAAATCCGGGGGTACGGCACTACAAGCCAAGTAGTTCACAATATCCGCATACCAAGGCTCCGATTTTGCCTCAAGAGCATATAAGACATCATCCATTAGGGCATCTTCAATTGGCAAACCATCCTCATGTATTCTTGCCACTCCCAACCTAGAAAGGTGGTCCGCCACCACGTTCTTGGCCCCCTTCTTATCTCTCATTTCGTAATCAAACTCTTGAAGGACCAAGACCCATCTCAACAACCTCGGTTTGGCCTCCTTCTTGCTTATCAAATATTTGAGAGCCGAGTGATCGGTATACACTATTGTCCTAGAACCAATGAGGTAGGTTCTAAACTTCTCAAATTAATGAATAACAGCCAAGAACTCTTTCTCGGTAGTTGTATAATTCCGTTGAGCATCGTTGAGAGTCTTGGACAAATAGTATATAACATGAAGTTTCCCATCCTTTCTTTGTCCTAGAACCGATCCAATGGCCTCATCGCTAGCATCACACATTAGCTCGAATGGTAAAGACCAATCCGGTCCTTGGACTTTGGGGGCGGTGCAAAGAGCCTTTTTCAACCTACAAAATGACTCATGGCAAGCTTCATCAAATACAAAATCTTTATCTTGCTGCAAGAGAGATGTGAGTGGCTTAGCAATTAAAGAAAAATCTTTTATAAAACGACGATAGAACCCGGCGTGGCCAAGAAATGACCTCACTTCCCTTACATTGGTAGGGGGTGGGAGTTTCTCTATGACCTCCACCTTGGCTCTATCCACCTCGATGCCGGCATGGGAAATTTTGTGCCCAAGAACAATCCCATTCTCTACCATGAAATGGCATTTTTCCCAATTCAACACGAGATTAGCCATCTCACATCTTTCCAAACAACTAGATAAGTTAGATAGACAATTTTCATAGGTGGTACCTCCAACGGAGAAATCATCCATGAAGACCTCTATCTCATCCTCAATCATATCACTAAAGATTGACATCATACATCTTTGAAATGTAGCGGGAGCGTTACAAAGCCCAAAAGGCATCCTACGGTACGCAAAGGTACCATAAGGACAAGTAAATGTTGTCTTCTCTTGATCCTTGGGATCAATCGGGATTTGGAAAAATCCCGAATATCCATCAAGAAAGCAATAGAAGGCATGCTTTGTAAGCCTCTCAAGCATTTGATCAATAAACGGTAATGGAAAATGGTCTTTGGAAGTGTTGGCATTCAATTGGCGGTAATCAATACACATACGCCAACCCGTAACAAGCCGGGTTGGGACTAATTGTTGCTTATCATTGACCATTACCGTTATACCTCCTTTTTTCGGCACTACTTGAATCGGGGATACCCAATCACTATGAGCAATTGGATAGATGATCCCTGCTTCAAGTAGCTTGGAAACCTATTTCCTCACAACCTCTTGCATGGAAGGATTAAGCTTCCTTTGTCGTTGCCTACACGGCTTAGCACCCTCCTCTAAATCGATTTTATGCATGCATATGGAGGGGCTTATACCCTTGAGATCATCAAGAGTATAACCCAAAGCCTTCCTATGCTTTTTCAAGACATTTAGCAATGAGGAAGTTTGCTCTTCCGTGAGGTTAACATTGACAATAACCGGGGAAGTATCATTAGCATCCAAAAAGACATACCTCAAGCCCGAAGGTAGAGGTTTCAATTCTACCTTCGGAGCTCCCTTACCATTGGAGATCTCCTCCTTCTCTACCTTGAAGATTTCATGTGTTTGGAGCATCTCTTGGTCGGTGATTGTCTTCTCTTTCTCATCAAGTATTTCTTCATACAATTGCATCTCCTTTTGATCGCCTACTTCATTCTCATTCAACAAAACATTCTCAAGTAGATCATTAGAAGCATGCATATGAGGGTATCTAAACTCATTCATAAAATTTTCAATTGTATCTATTCTAAAGCATTCATTACTAGAGGAGGGTTGTCTCATTACCTTATTCAAGTCAAATTCAATAGAATCATTGTCAACCTTCAAGGTCATCTTACCTTCTTTGACATCGATGATCGCTTTAGAAGTAGCTTGGAATGGCCTACCCAAAATTATAGGAATTCTTTCATCTTCATCCATCTCAAGGACATAAAAATCCACCGGAAAGGTGAACTTACCAACTCTAAGGGGGATGTCCTCTACTTTCCCTATAGGCAATTTTGTGGACCTATCCGCTAGTTGGAGAGTGATGTTTGTAGGTGAAAGGCTTCCCACATTGAGCTTTTGGTAGACCGAGAAGGGCATTAAACTCACACTAGCACCTAGGTCACACAAAGCCTTCCCCAAATGGATCTCATTGATAGAACAAGGAATGGAAAAACTACCGGGGTCTTGCAATTAGGTTGGTAGCTTACTAGAGAGAATGGCACTACAATTTTGCGGTTAGATTAACGGTCTCAACTCCTCTCTTTCCATTCAAAAGGTCTTTTAGAAATTTAGAGTAGTAAGGCATCTCCTTCATAGCATCCACAAAGGGTATAGAAACATGCAAGCCTTTAACTACTTCTAAAAACTTTCCGAATTGGGTATCAAGCTTAGACCTAGCAAATCTTTGGGGAAAAGGCAACCTCTCATTCCTAGGTTGGAGATTAAGGGGTAAAGGTGTTTTCTCTTTGGTGCTCTCCTTTTCGGGTTCCTTCTCTTTTTCTCTCTCACCCCTCTCATGCTTTTCGGCACTTCCTTCTAGAACCTCACCCTCTCTTGATGACTCATCCTCAACCTCAAGTCCTATCCCTTTATCGGAACTCTTCTCAACATTTAAATCACTCTCAAGGATCTTCCCACTTCTAGTGGTAATGGCATACATAGATTTGGGGTTGACACCTTGGCTAGGTAAAGAAGAAGAGGAAGAAGGGGAGGATGAAGAACTTGGTTGGGAAATTTGGGAGATTTGGGTCTCAAGCATCTTCATGTGTGCCTTAATTTGTTTCTTTTCCTCCTCTTGACTCTTGTTGTAGCTCTCTTGATTCTTGATGAAAGCTTGGAGCATGCCCATCATAGAATTCGGAGCGGCCTCAACTTGAGGAGGAGATGTGTTAGAAATTTGGGCTTGTGGCCTAATTTGTTCAAAATCGGGAGGTCTATTTTGAGGCCTTCCATTTCCGGAACCGTGATTGGAATTAAAACGTTGTTGGTTGTTGGAATAGTGTTGTTGGTTTTGATTCCAATTGGGCCTTTGGTTTGAGTAACTTCTTCCATTGTAATTAGAAGAGTTCCCCTTTCCTTGGCCTTGGTTATCATAACTACCACCACTTTGATTCCATTGATTTTGATTCCAACCTTGATTTTGATTCCAACCGCGGTTTTGGTTTTGATTCCAATTTGGCCGCATTCCAACATTTCCCTCACAGGGGACAAAATTCATAGCATTAATATCTTCAACATTATCATCATCATTTTCTTGGGAAGGGCTTTGATATTCATTAATGGACATGCATTGTTCAGAATTATGGTCATAGTTTCCACATATATCACAAAACATACAACCGGGAGGCATATCATTGTAATTAGAGGGAGAAGAAGTAGAAGGATTCATACCATGGCCTCTCTTGGTAGAAGGAGAGGAAGTATTTTGAGTGCTTGATTTCATGAGCTCCTCCATTTGTTTCGCCATCTTTTCCATTTGGTTGGAAAGATTTGTGATGGCATTGGTTTGCTCGATGGATTGCACCATTCCTTTGCTTGAAGTGGCTTCCCTCTCACCTTCATACCAATCCTCATAATTCCGGACCACATCTTCTATTATGCTTTCAACTTCGTCCTCTCTCTTGTTCATAATAGGGCCAACGGCCCCGGCATCTAAACTTGTCTTGCTTTGGGGTGAAAGGCCTCCATAGAAAGTTTGAAGAATTTGGTAGTTGGGAATGCCATGATGAGGGCATTGTCTTTGGAGTTCCTTGTACCTTTCCCAAGCCTCACATAGAGACTCACCTCCCCTTTGGCGAAAGCTTTGAATTTTAGAACGAGCCTCGGCAGTCTTCTTATGATTATACAACCTTGCCAAAAATGTCGTAGTAACCTCATTCCATGTTGTGAGAGAACCGGTAGGCACGTCATTATTCAACCAATGCTCGGCTACTCCCATAAGAGAGAATGGAAACATCTTCAATCGAATGTACTCTTGGGTTACTCCGTTGATCTTGATGGTGTCACAATACTTGAGAAATTCTTTGAGATGCTCATGTGGGTTCTCAAACTTACCACCCGTGAATTGCCTCTTTTCTATCAAGGAGATGAAGTTAGGCTTGATTTCAAAATTGTTTGCTTGGGTAGTAGGAGCTAGGATCCCACTTTGAGAGGTATATGGTTCGGGTGCTCCAAGTTGCTTTAGTGACCTTTGATCACCCACGTTTCCTTGATCACCCATACTTTGTTGATTATGGTTATTGGCAAATGGGTTGGGATTTGAGCCTGTGGGTGATTCACTCTCCTCGCTTGAATTGGGTGAAGATGGGGTAGGGGAACTTCTCACTTCCTCTTGAAGTGGGTCTTCACCTCTCTCCCTTGCTTGTCTCCTCAATTGGGTTAGAGTACGCTCTAGCTCGTGGTCTATGGACACCAAAGGCCTAGAGCTATTAAGCCTCCTGTGCATATACAAAGCTAAGAAAAAAGTGAGCATTGACAAGACACGGAAAAACAACAGAAAGAAACGAATGAACTAGTCTCAACAAGAAAATATACACACAATGGAAACCATTTCCCCGGCAACGGCGCCAATTTGACAAAGGGTATTTTAGGTCGTTACTAAGACACCTGTATCAAATGATATTTGTGGTCCTAAACATGCAACTAAATGAGTATAGAGGCAAGTCAAGGGTCGAACACAGGGAAACGATTAAGCACTGCTATCTATCTCCTAAAGTTAATCTAGTTCGGTCAAGGAAAATAGTGGATGAATTAATGACTAAAGAGTATGTAAAATTAGTTAAAATAAATGCTAGGGGTAGGGGTCGAACATGCTATGAAGTCAAAGGAGCTAGGCTTAGGGAAGTAGGTTTACATGCAAACCAAGCAACTCATACAAGGCAAAGTCAAGAGTACTCTCTAATCACCTATCGGGATTAAGAGCTTTCCTAGTTAACATGCACTTACACTATCGTCATAAGGCATGCAATACTAAGGTTAGACAATAATCAATCACCCAATGACTATTCCTAAATCACACTATCGTCATGATTTAATTCAAGTCACTCAACCACAACATGCATATGGCCATAAACATGGAGTAGCCAAAAAGTATAGGCGCAAGGAAGATTTAATTGCAAGTATTCCAAACTAGCCTAGCCTATCATACATCAAATTCAAAGCATGTCTCCACCAAACCCCTAGCAATAAGAAAACTACTCACAATCCATAACCCTAACTACAATTACACTAATCAACAAAGTAATTAAGAAATTAATGAGAGAGATGATAATTTCACCAATTAAACCAACAAAGATGGGAACTTTAAGCATATAACAAAAGAATAAAAAGAAGAATACCAATAGTTTCATTCAATACCAAGTGAGATGACAAACACCAATAGAGTTCCAAAATGCTTCCTCAAATACCCAAAGTAGCTAAAATTGATAAATTGAAGATCTACACTAAGATCTATGGAAGAATTTCCAATACAAGAAAGCTAAAATCTATGCTAGGAATGTTCCTCTAAAGAGTATGCTGAAAGTTTCAATATGTGAATAATGAATGTTGCCTTCTCTCTCCTCTTCTCTGCTTTTTAAATCTGATTTCAGATTACGGACCGCAGCAGACAGGCGCGCCCGCGCGCTAGATGGTGATGCGGCCACTCCTCAAGAAGCGCGCCCGCTCAAAAATGGGTGTCACGGGATTGGGCCAGCTCAGCGCGCGCCCGCGCCAGGAAGTCGCGCGCCCGCGCATAAGGTGGCGCGCCCGCGCCTATAGTTGCGAGCCCGCTCCAAACTGCTGGTTCAATGCTTCGATCCTTGCTCTGGCTCCTTGTCAATTCGAACCGCAATCAATATGCAATTACAAAATAGGAAGGCGAAGCGTAATACAACGAAGAGGGAGGGGAGCAAAGCCTAACTAAACCAAATAAAAACACATTACGCAACACATAGGTAGACTGCTTAAATTAGGCAAAACATAACAAAAGCACACTAGGATGAACCGAATTATTGCTAAAACTACTAAAAAGAACTACCCTAGGAGTGACATAAATATCACTCATCAGTGGCATGTTTCAGAGCATGTTTAATTAAACTAAATGTTTAATTTAGTTCGGAATATTAAAAAGGAATTTTATTACGGTTTATATCATTTTTATTGTTGTTAAAGCATGAGGAATGAGCTATATAAGTGTCTATGTACACGAGGAATAAATTGTATGTTGGTGCCTTAGTGCATTTAAAGTGTTTTCACATTGAGGGATAGGATTTGTGGCGCTTTATGCGTTTAAGGTGTCATTGCACCGAGGTAGAATTAAAAAGGGTTCAACATTAATTATTATGTGTTCACTAATTATTCAAGAATTAAATTGGTATATTTGATTATTTGAATAATTATTGCTGATTGAATGATAATGGTTTGAGAGTCATCACCAAGTTTAATAATCTTTAAATAACGTAAAGTGAAAGATATTACGTACCAAAACTCTTGAAACGTATATACCTTGAGTGTGAACATATGAGGGGAATTATGGGGTTTAATATTTAACCATAACTTCTAATGGAGTACAGGACGTTGTACATTCCTTTTATTATTATTATGCGTAGTAATTCCGCCACCTACTAGTGGTTATTGATGCTGGCACGGTTAGCTCCCGTGTCATTAAGCTCAATTTATTTCGGGGAGGTTAGAAGGAAATCCATTCGATGCGTAGTCAACATTAAATAAATTATGTAGTGTTTAGTGAGAACTTTTATTGATTGTTGTATGCTTTAAAAAAAACAGGTGCAACGAGGTAAGTTGTGTGTTGATAGGGAATTGTATGCTAGTGTGTTAATTACGCTTATGTACTCAGCTTTGCTGATTGTGTGTTTTGTGTGTTTGTTGGCCTTGTCTTTATCTTAGCCCTATGATGACCCATTTTTAATGGAGAGTAGTGGAAACAAGTAGAGAGAAACTTTTCAGGTGATGAAGCATATTCATGAATGGGCATGAGTGAAGAGTGAATCATGCTAGTTTCTATAAGTTTATGATTTGCTTATTGCTTTGATTATTTATGACATTGTTATTATGCGTGACTAACAAAAAGGTTTTGAGTTCGGTTTGGTTTTAATAAGGGCCTATAATGGTTCAAGTTGTAGGTTGATTTTATTTTGCTTCGTTTGACTTTGGCTTGACTTTACTTTCGTTGATTGACTTTTCAAGTTGACTTGTTACGAATGGTTTTGAAATTAGTCTTTCGCTGTGTGTCTTTGGGTTCCTTAATTGTTTTCACGATGGCGGTAATGTCTTAGATATTCCTATTTAAAGTTTTAAACAGGGTAAAACAGGTATTTTAAAAGAAAGGAATTTTTATAGAGTGTTACACATTTTTCCGACTTATTCCCTTAAGTTAAACATATAAGGAAATTGCGATCTATAAAGGGTCAATCTTTGATAATGTAATAACTATCTATTTCTACGCGAAACTAGATGTTTTATAATCTGCAACGTTGTTTGTTTATCGGAATATATTTTTCAATTAAACTTATTGAAATAATCGGTGGTTCCTAGAGGTGTCTCCACGAAGTGCGTGGTACGTAGTTATTAAATGAAAGGCTGGATGTACCAAGCTCCACCTTAAAAATTTCATGATTCATGATTGAAACCATGGTTAAAGTGTCTTGACTTTTGTCCATTAACAGCTTAATGAAGAAAATAATTGTGATCCAAAAGCTGAGCAATAAGATAACAAACAAAAAATAATTAAATTGAAGCTTTACTTACAACTATCTTATCGGCTGAAAAGAAGAAACTAAAAAATTAGGAAAAAAAAACAAAATGAAAGAAAGAAGAAGATTCTGAATAAATCAAACTATCTCATCGCTTTTTTCTTTGATTAGAAATTACCTAAATCTTTACAACTATACTATCGATTAAGTTAATATAATAGTCATTATCCAATTTATTAATCTTGTATGAGAACGTGCAAAACTAGCTATCTAGTATGATTATATCTTTCTAAGAGGGAGCAAAATCCTCGTGAAGTGGGAATCTCGTTAGTTTCGGTCATATAATTTTATAATTAACAACTTGATCATAATATAAATAATGTTTCCATATGTAATAATAGTAATAAAAATTAAATAAACTAGTAGCAACTTGATCATTGTTATACTTATTTTATGCTCAAACGCCTAAGATTCATGATTATATAATTGTAGTTTGTACTGAATTCATTAGTAATCAGCGTAGTAAACCTCTATTAATTAAGAAAGTAGCCAATAAATGACAGTAGAATAACACATGGTACGTTATGAAATTAGCAATTGGGTGAGAAGTCCAGCTTAGACTTCAAGAGAAGTTGTCAGGCTAATTAATTCAAAAGTTTTTTGGTTTGCGGTGTTTAATTGTGTAATTAAAAATTGACCATATAGAATTAATTCAATAAGATAATTGATTTTATGTTTAGTAGGCCGTAAGTAACTTTGTCAAATTAGTCATTAATTATTTAGACCCTGTTTGATTTACCTTAATTTTGCTGAACTGAATTTTTTTTACTGAACTGAACTTATTTTTACTGAACTGAACTTAATTTTACCGAACTGAAATTATTTTTACTGAACTTAAATTATTTTTACTAAACTGAAATTATTTTTATTGATTTTCGATTATAATTCTTCTTTAAGAAAACTGAATTTTACTGAACTGAACTTGTTTTTACTGAACTGAAATTATTTTTACTGAACTGAACTTATTTTTACTGAATTGAAATTATTTTTACTTAATATTATTTTTTTAAGGTGAAGATCGAGAACAGGGCCTTAGATTTATGTTTGGGTCATGTTGGTTCTATGGGGTTATACATGCTAACTGTTAGACCATATCCAATGATGAGACTCAACATTGAGAATTGAAATACAAAATGAGTCTTTTTTTTTATCTTTAATGGTAATACTCAACCCGCTTCTCAATTTAGCAACTCATGTGAAGTCAAATTTCCCAATGGTTAGACTTTTAAAAGTATACAAAATAAGTTTTTTTAGAAAAAAAAAATTAAATTAAAACTTAAATTAATTACAAAACATATTATAATATTGATTAAGCCTCACACTTTTTGTCAAATGACACTAAAAATTGAGTATCTAAACTTAGCAACTTTTTTTTAAAATTAGTTACTAAGTTTATATACTAACTTATTAGTATCATTTGCAAAAAATACCCTCTGTCCTAAAGAAACTCCCTAAAGCCTCACAATGATCTTAAGTCACGGTATATAATTTGAATAATTTTGATTAAGTCAAATTTTAGATTGGATCAGTTTGAGTTTGAGCCAAAGAGTTCAGCTCATATAGTAATTTGTTACTGTAGTATCTCTTGCCAGTTTGAGCCAAAGAGTTCAGCTCATATAGTAATGGAACCTATAGTAATTTGTAACTTTTCTACCTTTATCGATTGCCAGTTTTTAAAGGAAGAAAAAATACAGATTAGGTTCGTATTCTCTCAAGATTACAATTTACTTATCTAATTAAGAATGTATAATCCACAAATATATACTATCGTCGGCTTTCATAAATTTTCCTAGTTAGTATTATGAGCAGTCAATGATTAGTAGTGCACTTATTTGACAATATGAATATCATTAATCTCATATGAAAAATTATTATACTACCTCTGTTTCATTAAATGTGCAACAATTTCCTAAAACGGAAATTACACAACAAAAAAAACTTTCCTAATATAGAAAATATTTTTGTGAGAATTTACCAACATACTCTTACTTACCTTAAATAAACCACCAATTAATTTATTAACCTAAATTAATCAATCTATAATTAAAACCCAAACCCAAATTTTCTCTCCTCCTTCACAGCCCACATCCACCATTATCACCACCGAATTTTCTTTCTCCTAGCTCTCAACCACCAGCAACACCACTTTTCTCTCTTCTCTCACCACCACCACTTAGATCAGTCGCCACCCTTCTCATCATAGTCGCCGTTGAGTTTTCCGCGCCTCCTCCTCTGGTCAAAGTCGTCATCTCCTTTCTTCCCTTGTCAAAGGCGCTGCTCCTTCTTGTGGGTAAGTTTTGGTGGCTCCGAGTTAGGTGGGGTTGGGGTTTTTGGTGGTTATGGTGCATGGGGGTTTCGGATCTTGGTGGTGAGAGGGTGGTGGGGTTTTGGATCTTGGTGGTGAGAGGGTGGTGGGGTTTCGGGATTTTGGTGGTGAGAGGATGGGGGGGTGGGGTTTTGGATCTTGGTGGTGTGAGGGTAATGAGGGTTTCGGGATTTTGGTGGTGATAAGGGTGGTGGGGGTTTCGGGATTTTGGTGGTGATAAGGGTGGTGGGGGTTTCGGGATTTTGGTGGTGAGAGGGTGGTGGGGGTTTCGGATCTTGGTGGTGAGTTGGTGGTTGGGGTTTTTGGATCTTGGTGGTGAGAGGGTGGTGGGGTTTCGGGATTTTGTTCATGGTGGGGTTTCGGGATTTAGTGGTGGTGCGAGTTGGCTAGGACGGTGTAAGGGGTGTTTCTGGTGGGTGGTGCAGGTTGGTTGGTGCGACATTAGTGGTGCTGCTGGTGGGTGGTTCGAGGAGAAGATGACAGTTGGTGGTGGTGTTGTGGTAGCCCTTGATTAATTAATTATTTCTTCTTTCTCTCTCCTACCCTTAATCATATACCCTTCACTTTGTTAATCAAGCATTATCAAATTTCGTTTCGGAAAACGTGCAGCCAAGTTTGTTGCACATTTTATGTAACGGAGGTAGTAAATGTTATACTCTGAAGGTACACACAACACACTTAAGAGCCACTTCAAATTTAAAAACTTTCATTTGAATGTTACTCCCTCTGTGTTTTAATAAATGTTACACTTTCTTTTTTGGCAAAAAGCTACATTAAAATATTATATCTCTCTATTCTCATTGTCCCACCCAAAACCACTACTACCTTTTTTTATTATATATTTCCTATCACATTCATTACTTTTCAATAAACTATTAACCTCATTCTTTTTGTTTTACAATTTTTTGATACTCCAACTACCCTACTTCTTATTTTATTTAAATCAATTAAATTGCCTAAAACTATGTGTCGATCAAACTGTTACACTTAAAAAAACACGAAGGGAGTATTCTTTTTGTATAAATTATTTTAGTAGGTCAAAGTTTTTAATTTAAATTTGATTAGATAAACTGTAAATGAGAAAGTAAAAAAGAATTAATTTGATTAATTGATGTGGCAGCTACATCTTCGACGAATTGTGCCAATTTTGTTACATAAAAATTGCACTAGAGAATTGCTAAGATCTTGCCATATGTTACAAATTAGTGTCAAATAAAATGGAAGCATACAATAATCTATTCCAAGTATCGGGCAACCCGGGAAGACACCAATGACTACAATCAGAACTACCCGGAAGATTACCCTTAACCTTTTTGGTATAAATAGACGGATGTGCATCAATTCTATATTCCGAAAGCTTTGTAATGTTCAAGTATTTAACTCGTGTTTTACTCATTCGCGGTATCATACTCTCTACAACATCGATCAAAGGTTTCGGAAACCCCATTATGTAGGACTCATCCTTGATAGGTTGTGTCACATTATAGCACCATTGGTTGTATTTTCGAGCGTCGTGTGTAGGCGAAACACTTCGGAAAAACACGCTAGTTTTTTCCGGATCAACGTTTTTCTTAATCCATGACGCCCATGTTCTCATGGCTCGTTTGAAGGCAATTTCTCTTGGCATCACTTCTGTTAGTTCTCCTTTGTATTGGAACAATTCCCATCTGCAGTAAAGTGACTTAACGTTAATGTGCCAATATTATATAGAGTACCTAATAATGTTGTAAAAAATTTAATAAAAATTTTATAAAAATTTTAAAAAAAAATAAAACCAAATAATGTTGTAAGTAGACTACTCCGTTCTCAATGGAATTCCAGAAATAGGCCCTTAACAATAAATGCAATAGGTTATAACATAAAACTTTTCATTTTCTAACGTAAAACATAAAACTTTAATAGCTGTAATTGTGTATTTTTAAATAAACTATATTATAAGTGGATTGCTAAACACCTCTTGTAAGATCACACATGACTTCTTTTTTCTTAATTTATTTTTTAACCTTACTTAAATACATTATAAATTACAAATGACGATGGTCAAAATAAATAGGTTGAATGCTGGCAAAATTCTAATAATAGGTTAGTATCATTCTAAAATAAAGGGATTACAGTATAAATTGATAGAAGCACGTACGCTTTTATGTTATCGTTATGAGTCCACCAGTGGCCTGAGTTGAATACCATAATATCGGCACCTCGCCACATCGTTGCAAAGTGTGATATGTTGTCAAGAATGAGAACTTTGCGCCCACTTTTATGCTTGTGAGCAAGTTCGGTTAGAAATGGGCTCATGAAGAACTCAACTGTAAAGTTATAGTCCTACAATCATTCAATTCCCAACAATATAAGTCATAAAAAATGAATTCTCACTAAAACTCAATCTTAACAAAGTTAATATCTAGCTTCATAGTTGGAACATTATTCACCTTTGCTTTCAAGAACTTATGTGCAGATTCTTTATTAGTACTGGCTTCTGTTCGAGTTGACGGAACAGAAGAGTAGATAAGGCAAGCAAGGGATTCCCACATATTTCTGTTGATTGAATCTCCAACTATTATCATTCTCTTGTTTCTTAGTCTTTCTAACATATCTCTTCCATTGAACCTAACATGGAAAAATATTAGAATTACTTTTTATCAATTAATAAAAAAAGTAACATTATTGGCCTTTGTTTTATAGACCGGATTTGATCCCATGTCCTGAGTACGATTCTTTTCACCAACAATGCTAGTTGATTATCCACATACATAGAGATACATGATTAACACACATACTTACAATGGTATTTCACAATCTCTAGCTTCCCATCTCCATTTTTCGTACTCGAAATCCGCCCTTCCATTCTCTTGGCATCTTACCCCTACCTCTACGAATGGACAAGTCATTGTACTATAGCTCGGCTTATAATCAGCATCATAAACCCATCTCCCGTCGAATATGTCACAATCTTTTTTCTTTTCTTCAATAGATTTCTCCATGCCACTACCAGTTAAATTAGATACAAATATCGGACTAATAATCGAGGGAGATACTTCAGGGCTATGGATGACTACTTCAGGGTGGAGTATAGGACTAATAATTGGGGTTGTCACTTCTGGAGTACGAGTGGTAATATCTGGCTCGGATATAGGACTAAAAACCAGAGGCGGAACTTCTGGGCTATGGATGGCTACTTGAGGCTGGAGTATAGGACTAATAACTGGAAATGATTTTACTTTTGGAATACGGGGGGTAGTATTTGGCTCCGATATAGGACTAATAACCAGAGGCGGAACTTCTAGGGGATGGGTGGTGACATTAGGCTCGATAATGGTACTAATAATCGGGGATAGAACTTCCGGGGGATAGGTGGTGGTGGTGGCATTAGGCTCGATAATGGTGCTAATAATTAGTTGCGGAACATCAACATCGACGGAAGGAGTGGTTAACTCTGATGGCACGGTGGTTGTTATGTTGGTTGTTGGTTTATCTAATATTTTAGAAAAGGGGTTAAATTTAAGCAAAGCATGGTTAGTAGCTAATAAACTTGCATTTTGTTGGGTTTTGTCGATGAATAAGAGTGAAATAAGACCACCGCAAAAACAACCAACTAAGAAGAGTTTCCATGTGGCTAAGACTTGAGGTTTCTTTTCCATGACTTGAGGAAAAATAAGTTTCTAACTTGTTTGCTGCCTTTGATAAATGTGAAAATGTCAAATAAGTTTACTAATGTTTGGTACGTTATCATATTGTTTAATACAAATAGGTCAACTTGCATGAATATTATACTTAATTATACGTACAGTACATAATTAAGCTAATACAGTACATAGTTATTAAAAATAATAATAAAAAAAAAAGAAGCTAAATTAGCTAGTACATTAGTAGAATAGTAGACTTATCTTCACTATATAAAGTAATAATAATACTCATCAATTATTGGAAAACCAAAAGTATTATAACTGCCGCTTGCCAATTTAGACCCCAATGAGACTGATAGCTAGCACTCCTAGCAGAATTGCAGGGTCATTCAATATACTAGTAAAACTTAGGAGTTCAAGCATATTACACGTCTAGCCTTGATTTATGAATCAAGCCTTTTAGGGAATTGAAATTACAGCAACTTAAAGAGAAACTGAAAGAAATGTATCCTCGATTGTGTAACTTCAATTACTAAATATTATTACGTAAAAAGATCATAATGTTCATTAATTTTTGTGATCTTCGTCTTGTTATAAACCAATTATGATAGATATATGATATGGTATGTTTCATCAAGAGAAGAATGAAGCCTAATTTTTTTCATATATATTTTAAGATTATGTATTAAATGTAGGTTATCAACTATTTTAAGAAAATAATGTTAGACACACACTTTCAAAATATGTCAGAATATTATATTAGTTTATGTCGTGGTTAATGAATTTTTTTTCGTGCAGGCAGATGCACGGAGCATCGTGCATACTTTTTTTTTTTTTAAGGCGAAATGAACATTAACTTGTTTTGTAATGAACATATGTCTGTTTTGTAAAGAACATCCAATTTTATATGTTTTTTGTTGTAAATTTAAAGAACATATGTAATATTAATAAAGAACATGATAATACTAAAGAACAATATTCATATAGTAAATGTACATTTGTTATAAATAATCATGTAAGCATATGAAAAAGAGCATTATACTATATTATAATGTACATTGTATTATTCCCCTAAAAAAAAAAAAAAAAAAGACAACACAAAAATTATGTACATTGTATTATATTCTAATGAACATATATGTTATAATGTTGCTTACAAGTTTAATGTACATTTTATTATTTGGATCATTAAAGTATATATGAAAAAGAATGTTTTATTGTATCTTAATGTACATTGTATCATTTGGATCTACAACTTATTTTGAATTTGTCGCTTTCTTCTACCAAAATGTATTAATTGGTCAATCTTCTTCAAGAACTTCATTTTATTTCTCATTGCAACAAAAAAATCATTGCACATAAATCGCAAATTAATTCCCAATTAAACTAAAAATTACAATTTTCAACAAAATTTATAAAAAAAAACAAACACTCAACTCAAAACAAACAAGTATAAATGTCGAATCTGGTCTTACCTTTCGTTTTTATCTGTCATCTTGAACAATTTTGGACTCAAAATTTTGAAATTTTTGTAATGTTGCTAGAGGTTTGAGGAATTTAAATGAGTTTGAAGTTTTTTTGGAGAAAGAAAGTGAACTTTTGGTTAAAAAAATAATTTGTAATTAATGTATCGTAAATAAATCATTACAATACTTTTTATCTATTTTCTTATATACAAAATTTCTTTCAAAAAAAATATATATATACAAAATGTTGCACAAAAATCTCGTGTACATTATAAATTAACACTATGTTCTTTTATATATATTTTCATTTACATTATAAATGAACACTATGTTCTTTTATATGCCAATGTACATTAGAATATACCTGCATGTACATTCCGCCTTTTTGTAGTTTTAGAGCAGATGCACCACGCGGATCGTGCATCCGCCTGCACGAACCACACTTTGCATTGTTAATTGAACACCTTTAAATTCAATGTTTAGAATCATGAACATAAGCATCAAATACAAACCTCAAAATAATTCTACTTAGTATACCAACTACTAATAAACTGCTAAAAATTAGTGCCCAATATGACATTTTGCTCCTAATCAGTTTCCCCATCACATCTCCCCTAAATCAACAAGAGTCCTATTAATAAATCGTATCTCCTAGATTATCGATCAAAAAATATCAATGCGTACAATAACCTATTCCAAGTATCCGGAACTCCCGGAAGGCACCAACGTGTACAATCTGCATAATTCATGAGATTATTGTCATACTTTTCGGTTAGCATATTCTGATCCTTGAACCTGTACAAGGATGGGTGTGCATCAATTCTATACTCGGTCAACTTAGTTATGTTCAAGTACTTCACCTGTATTTTACTTATCTGGCTTAACACATTCTCGACTACATTGACCATAGATTTTGGGAAAACCGGTACGTATGATTCATCCATTATTAGTTGGGTCTTGTTATAGCACCATTGATCATATTGTGGAAATTTGTGTGGTGCCGAAATGCTCCTAAACAACACTGTTGTTTTCTTTGAATCAACATTTTTCTCAATCCATTTTGCCCATGTTTTTAGGCCATGTCCATAAGCTAGCTCTATCGGCATATCCTTCATTAACTTTCCCCTATATTCGAATAACTCCCATCTAAAAAAAAATAAAAAAAATAAAAAAAATAATAATAATTATGGCTTTGTGGTTATATACACAAAGATGCATGCACGTATACTTAACAAAATAATGCAGCTTTCGTTAAACAATTAAGTTACATACTAATTGATAAAATTCAATATTGTTCATATGTGTGCTTGACGATAGTGCAAAAAGTTAGTAAAAAAGTTATATAGAAACGGCCACAATGTAAAGTTCTAATGTTTTATATTCTTTTGCGTATGTAATGTAACCTAGCTACCATGAGTTTGTTTTATATTATACATTTGAAGTTCTTATGTCAAGAATGAGTTCGAGATCATAAATTATGAAACATACAAGATTACTCATAATAATAAGAAGTACAATTATGTTGTTTCTTGTTTTTTTTTAGACTCTGGTCTAAACTCTTCTTCTGCTATTTACCGAACTTAATTATAGTATTTGCTTATTTTTATTAAACATATATAATTTTACTCAAAATCAAATTATTCTAATGAAATAAGAGTCAGGTCTTGTTCACTTCATATGATATATAAATATATTACTAAATTGCTTTTGTTATATAGCGGTTATCTATTGATAATTTGTTAAACTATAAATTTAAGGGATTGAGGTAGTATTATATAGGTATGAAAGATTAATTATCAAGCAAAATTGTAAATTATAATGCAATTGATAATTATCCATACGCTTTAAATCTTCCACGTTGATCCCACCAATGCCCTGAGTTGAAGACCATAATATCTACTCTAATCCACTTCTTTGAATTAGTTGATATATCATCAAGCACAAGAACCTTTTTGCCACTTTCATGGTTATCGTTGAGTTCAACGAGAAATGGACTCCAATAAAACTCTAGAGTGAAGTTGTATTCCTATAATAAAACAACAAATGATAGTGTTACATTTATAAAATTATTAGACATTGACTATATCCTAGCTAATAAATGAAATTCTGAATTTCCTCATACATATATATACCTTAGCCTTCCATATTGTCTTGTAATTCCTTTTTTCTTCGACCTTGGCTGTCGTAGAAGGAACGGAGAAGTAGAGAAGGCAAGCAAGAGATTGCCACATGTTTCGATTTAGCGAATCGCCTACTAAGATCATCCTCTTGTTCCTTAATCTTTCAAGCATATATGTTCCATTAAACCTAGAATTGAAATTCAAAGAGAATAATCATGTTTACAATGTTCGATACGTACTTATGTTAGTTATGTAGTCTAATATTTACGTGTGATAGTTTTACAATGATCAATAGCATTGCTAGTAGCTCTGCCCACTTGCTTGTTTATAAATTATGGACAACCTTTCCAATGCAAAGCATTAAAGCGCAAGAATATTTCCTACAAATTTTTGTGATGTGATCATGTGAAGTTGTGTATTAGGTAAGAATAATGTGGATTGCGATAACTCGAGGACAAAATTACATGATTAAGGGAATAAGCAAGCTCTAACATATATTTAATGATAAGTATAGTTAGGATTATTTAAGGTACATGTGAAAGGAGTTGTCTAAAGTTGTAAAAATTCTAATATGGTCAGCTTCATTATAATTATCACTATACTTCAATATGATTGGCTAATTTTTCCTTCCTTAAATAATAAGTCAAACCTTGTTTTAAATTTTTTCTATTTAAAATTCTTTTCTATTCTCCAGAAATTATTTTTTGATTTTCAGAAATTATATGTAGTATTTTTAATTTTTTTTGAAATTATTTTGTTAAAATCATCTTTTATTTATCCAAAAATAAGATTAAATTTAAAAAATCAAAATCAAATTTTGTTCTTCAGTGTTCTTCGTTGTTCTTCAACCTTTTTCAATGTTTTTCATCTAAGATGAATTTAACCACTAATTAATGACCCGTGTCCTTAAAATTTTTTATTTCAATTGCATGAAATCAACAATTTGTCATCAAAAGATGAATATTCTACGATATAAAAACAATTATTCAAGAATTTAACAACAATCCCAAATTTGCTAGATCTCGGAAGGATATCTTCAAGTTTCGAATTTGCTGTTTGGATCTGGCAGGCCATATTTTGAATATCCATAGATGCGCAATTAACTCTAAGGGACACAAATCAATAATTGGTGGGGAAATTCATACATATATGAAGGAACAACATTCAAAAAGCTTGAAGAACAACGAAGAACAATCTTTGATTTTGAATTTGATTTTGATTTTTGTAATTTAATGTTATTTTTGTATTTCATTAAAAACTAATTTCAATAAAATATTTTCGAAATTAGAAAGAAAAAAAAAAGAATTTCGGAGGATTGAAAAAGAAATAAAAATAGAAAAAATAAATGTAAAAAAGGGGTTTGACCAGATTTTACAAAATAGGAAAAATTAGGCAAATTAGTGGTGGTCATAATGAAGCTGACCACAGTAGAATTCCCCCTAAAGTTGGGATATGATCAATTTATTGCATATCATTTGTAATTGGCTAGCTAGAACTGGACGACATTCTATTTATGTCAACTTTATTATTCCGTATTTGAAAATTGTGCATAATGTTTGCTGATTTAAAAACTACGTGATGTATAATGATTTTCACAAAAAAACACTAAATAATAATTATTTCCTTCTATGTATCCATTATTGATGGCATAGTTGCACACAACAATCCCTACCACCATCGACAAATTAACATATTTGCCTTATTACAAATTACCCTCTCTCTCTCTAATGTTAACTTGGGTAGGAAGTAAGGACTACTTTTCTTTGGGTGGGTAAGGGGATTAAATAGGGTCTTAAGGGATAGAGCTAGCGAGGAGAGAGAGGAGGAGGTTAGGAATGAGAAGTCAAGTGGGGAGTGATTTGACGGAGTAATAAAAAATTGGAAACGAAAGGAATAGGGGAGAGGAGGTTTAAGTGGTAGTATGATAGTCATGCTATATATTGAGATTTCAAGAAGGACCCCATACATACATACATATATATATACTCCCTCCGTTTCTTTTGAGCTCTTTCCCAAATTAAGGTCAAGAAGAACCGCAATTCCCAAATTGCAGCCAAAGTTTTAAGTTTTCCCATTCTACCGTCCACGTAAGCACTGGTTAAAAAACCGGTTTTTTTTTTTTCCGGTCCAGGGTAAACCGCTACTTCAAGTAGCGGTTTCTTTGCAATAAACCGCCACTTCAAGTAGCGGTTTCTTAGTTTAAAACCGCTACTTGAAGTAGCGGTTTGTTTACAAAAAACCGCTATTTAATGTAGCGGTTTATTTTGGAAAACCGCTACTTCAAGTAGCGGTTTACTTTGAAAAACCGCTACTTGAAGTAGCGGTTTACCCTGGACTGGTTTTTTTTTTCAAACTTGCATAATCACTCAAAAAAAACACCTGCAAGTTGTGTACCTGTAAAACATGAGATATATAGCATATTTTCAACACAACCACCATAAATAACAAGTTTATGAAGATCTAAGGAAGTCGAAATTGCAAAGTCGAATATTTTTCAACTGATTAAATATAACAAAATCCAATTCTAAGCATTTACAAAAAAATTAGTTTAGTTCCAAAATATACACTTAGCTCGGGCGTTGCTTCTTCCCATGAGGTGACGATGAAGATGATGCAGCTGTCTCCTCTGGAATGTCATCCAGGCCAACTCCAACCCCAGACGTAGTGTTGCTACGCCGTCGGTTTCTCTGATACTGGCGATGCACTAGTGGAGGAGATGTCATGATAGTATGCTGAGAAGGAGTCGGTGGACGGAAGGCACGTGATGAATGGCCTCCACGATGAGGTGGTGGTCTGATCGGCATAGTGTGCACAGTAGAAGATGAAGACGTGGACGGTCGAGGCTGCTGAATAAGGTGTGACTGCCCCACCCTAGACAAGGTTTGGCCACAAAATGATGTAAAACCCTGCATCGTCTGTATGGCAAATGGTATAGCCGTCTCTGGTGGCAAGTGGGAGATGGTCTCAGTAGCTCCCGATAGCTGGACGTGCAAATCAGCAAATGCATGTGCCTACATTTAAGTGTAGTTTTAATGTTAGTAAAATGAAATCAAAAACGTAAGAACTAGATTGAAATGAAGTGAAGTTCATACAAGCAGGAGGTCCGAGGTAGCTGGCTGGTAATGACTCGGGGGGCGCTCCTGCGAAGGTGGAGTAATGACCAGTCTCGTGATGCGACGGTACCAAGCCATGTACTCTGTCATGGCCGGGGAAGAAGTCCCAGTGAACGGGTATCCCTCGTCGACTCCACTCGTGTACATGGTCCGAATGCCGAATCTCCCAATTACGCTGTCCCCTTCGATCCTTCCTGTGTAGAGCAACGTCCGTGTCTACATCCTGTGGGATCGGCTGGTCTAACCCGAACTGACGAAGGACTCGGTCTGGGAGGTGGAACTCAACGACGTCAAAGCATATCAGAGGTGCCCGTGAACGCCAAATGTGCATGTCTGAGCGACAAATCTCCGGAAGTCGATCCATCACCGCCTCAGTATATGGCTGCCAAATCATCTAATTCCCAAAACAAGTATGTCAACATGTATATGACTAACATAATGGAAGAAATACAATGCACAAAAAAAAAGAAACACCGATTGTACCTGGTCCTCGCGCTGATGGTCAAACGCATCTCTGTAGTATGGTAGTCCAGAAGCAGTATGCGCACACGATAGATGGACACGTAACCACCTGTAAAGACATGTTAATAATAATTCTTGAAAGATAGAATTGTAAGAACATGAACTTGAAGCAAACATTGTACCTGCACGCCAAAGGGTCAACACCTCGCTGATGCTGAGTCCCCAAAATGTCATCCTCATCCTCAGCCTCAGGGTCCTCCTGTGGCGGATCTCGAGGCCTCCTAATGTATGGTCGGCCAATATTAATATGCTCCCACGACCACAACTGTAGTAGGATGAGCGGGCCTCCAATCTGTCTTGAATCTCGCTGACATCCTCGACATAGCTGCCGATACAAAAAACCAAGAGTCGCACTCCCCCAGCTGTAGGTCGAAGCTGTCCCCCAGTCTCGAAGGAACGGCAAGTAGTAGAGTCTTTCACTCCTCTAAGCCTCCACGAACAACTACATTGTTCTTTCCTCTTGCACTCAACAACATATTTCTCTGGCTCTGCCTCCACAACTCGAATTGTTTGATTTCTAGCTATGGAGTAAGATTTCACAGCATCTTTCAGTTGTTTCAATGAGTCAAACTGCTGACCAACCTCAAATTCCCCCCCCCATTGTTATATGTCTCATTTCCTAACCAAGACATCCATGAGTTATTCAAACGAGGATCAACTTGCGCCACTTCATTGAAGTCTGAAGTGGGGGCGCTTCCTTTAATTGCCTTATCACGAGCTTCAATTACCTCTTCATCATCATCTTCATCAGTGTCATTCATCTCTGCATCGCCAAATACATCAACATTGTTTGGGTCAAGAGAATCAAGAATGCCTTGTGGTTGTGTGCTTGTCGAGGTTCCAACATTAGGCGATGAGGCCGGAGACCTAAACTGTGAGAGATGGTCATTGACATAATGTGGATCAACAAGCATTCTTGTGAATGACCCTATGCCCATACTTTGAACACCAGTGGAAAACGGTTGATCCACACTACCAAAAAAATCCATCCCCGGAAAGGAACCAGTGTTAGTTTGCACAACTGGCTCCTTTGGAACTTGTTCAATGAACAATTGCATTGCAACAGAAGAACTCTGAGTCACAACAATCCACATAGCTCTAACAGCGTTGTCGTCATTTAACGGAATTGCAACATATGCCCCTGCCATAGGATAACGCATAACCACCTTCAACTCCACACCTCTAGGATCAACACTCAATTCTTCATATAGCTTGTTCAGAACTTGTGAATATGTCATCGCAGAATGTACAAACACAAATCTTTGATTCCCACCCCTATACGTTATATCGCTATCTTTGTGGACAATTTCTCCACCCCAATAGCAATATAGAGGGTAGTTCGGAACCTCCATGTTTCATTCTAGAAAAGACCATTATTAATCAAAGATATTAGATTGCAAAAATTCATTAACAGTGTGGCAATGTCCTAACATCAAGCAAGCAAACTACACAATTATAGCAACCTAAACTGAGCTATGAAGGTCTTAATACCTCTTGAAGCTCAACATGGGCATAAGTCATGACTACATGTACTTTGAGCTCATGTACTTTGTGTATAGAAGCTCTATTTTCACTTTCAAAATCAGCAATTATAGCAACCTAAACTGAGTAATGTGATCGAAACCATTAATAATTCTACAAGGGTTATATGTAAGGTAAGTAAATCAACAACAACAACCAAAACCAACCACAAACATACATACAATTCTGAAACTCAATAACAACAACAATAAACAAGAACACTAACAACAACAACACAACCAAAACCGAAACCGAAACTCAATAACAACAACAATAAACAAGAACACTAACAACAACAACACAACCAAAACCAACAACAACAACACATACATACAATTCTGAAACTCAATAACAACAACAAACTCAATAACAACAACAAACCCAATAACTGAATACAAAAAATAATTAGGGCACTTACCACAAACAAGAAGATCAGCACGTTTCTTCTGAAATTAGCGAAGCCGACCACTAAAGTCGAACCCTCGGCGTCAACAGCGGCGGCCTTCGTTGCTGAGGAATGCTCCGGCGGCGTCGGTGGATTCCTTGGCTGCGCCGGCTTCCGTTGAAGGAGGTGTGATTTTGGTGGAAGGCGTGGATGGGATTTTGGTGAGAAGACGAAAATGAAAGAGGAAAGTGAAATCGGGAAATTATACCTGCTAGAAAACCACTACTTGAAGTAGCGGTTTATTAAACAAAAACCGCTACTTGAAGTAGCGGTTTATTAAAAAGAAACCGCTACTTGAAGTAGCGGTTTATTAGTAAAAACCGCTACTTCAGGTAGCGGTTTTGCTGTAGACCGGATTTAAAATTTCTTCCCCCTGAACCGGTGACGTGGACGGTACTTTGGGAATTCTTAAAACTTTGGCTGCAATTTGGGAATTGCGGTTCTTCTTGACCTTAATTTGGGAAAGAGCTCGTTTCTTTTTACTCGCAACAAACATGGGAAAAACGGACTCCTAGGCAAAATATTAAAAGTATGATTAATGAAAAATAAGGGCATACACTTAAGTGTTAATATAACCCTAAAAAAAAGGGAAAAAAAAAAGAAAGAAAAATCAAAGTTTTAATTTACGTACAACCCAGCAGCTAAAATCACAAAACACCACCACCTATCACCACCACAATACCACCCAACACCACCACCTAACACCACAAAACCACTCAACCCCACCACCTAGCAGTGCGGAACCACCCAACAACACCACCCACCACCACAACCATAACCAAGCTCCACGAAACAACCACAACCCACCACCATCAACCACCTCATTATCCACCACCCACGAACCCAGAACCACAAAAATTTCAACGGATGAACCCAAAACCACAACCTACCACCACCCACAACCCACGAACCCAGAATTCACGAACCCACAACTCAGAACGCGACCCACAACCCAGAACCCACAACTCAGAACCCGAACCCGCAAACCCACAACTCCAGAACCCTCGAACCAACAATCCATGAACTGAAGACCCAAGAATCCCGCCCCTGAGAAAAAACGAAACCCATTATCATAAATTAAGGCTTTAATTGGTCAAATTTAACCATCAAATTTTACCTTCAAATTTGAGCTTCACCACCAAGGACGAAATAAAAACTGAAATGGAAGAGAGCGAAAATGGAGGTGGCTAGAAGCAAGGGGACATCGGCCATTGAATGCCGGCGACGGTGGTGGTCTCCATGGAAGATTGCGGTCGAATTGAGGGTAGATGAACAAAGAGAGAAATTTCTTGGATGATGAATAGAGTATGGAGATCAATGGTAGGTGGTGGTGGTGGTGGTGGTGGATGTAGATGATGCTGAATTTGGATGGAATGAGAATTATTTTGGTGGAAATGGTTAAGTTAATTAATGTTAAGGTTTAAGTTAATGATAAAATTATTAGGTTAATTTAAGATGTTTTCAAAAAAGCAAGGTTAAATTTCTAAAGTCACACTAAAAACTTACTATAAAAGGGAAAGAAAAGTATGTTGTGAGTATTATGTAACGACCATTTTTTTGTAATTGTTGCGAGTAAAAAGAAACGGAGGGAGTATATATATATATGCATAAGTGAAAGCGTAGTTCCACGCAATTAAAATTTCATTACTAGAAACACAAGCAATTTCTGACGGACTAGTTCCGTCGGAAACGAAATTCCGCCGGAAAAACGAAAATTTCCGACGGATTTTAATTCCGTCGAAACTTTCCGACGGATTCAACAACTCCGTCGAAAATCTGTTGGAAATTTTTGACGGAAATAAAATCGGTCGGAATATATATGCTTTTCAACGGATTTTTACGTCGAATATTACAATTCCCAACGGAATATAAATCCGTCTGAAATTCCGTCGGAATATAATAAATTTTTTTTTTACCAAACCCTAAAACCCCTTTCCCCCTTCTATTTTCGCCACTATCTTCTTTTCTCTTCTCCTTCTCTTTCTCTCTCCTCTTCTCTTCTCCTCTCTCCTTCGTTCCCTGGCCTCTTTTACTCTTCTCCTTCCCTTTCTATCTTCTTGATTTTTTCGGTGGAGTCTCTTCTCCCTTCTCCTACTCTTTTTCTCTTCTCTTTCCTTTATTTTTTCGGTGTTAATGTGTTCTTTCTCATTGTCGTCGTACGTGGAGGTGCGGGTTTCTTTAGAAGTTAATGGTTTTTTAGGCCAAATTCGACCATGAAAACTCTAGATCTAGAGTTTTTATGGTCGAATTTGGTCATCTTACCATATTAAACCAAATTCAAGGTGACATACAAAGCAAAATTCAATTTTAGAGGTATGTTTTCTTGTTTTTAATTTTTTTTCTTAGTTATTTTGTTGATTTTTGGATTGTAGTAGTGGTTTTGGGCAGTCGTGATATGAGGTTTAAGTTAGTTGTGGTGGGCGGTTTAAGGTGGGCAGTTGTGGTTTTGGGAGGTCGTGGTGGGCGGTTTAGTTTGGGTGGTTTTAGGGTGTTAGATTTGGGTTTTGTTTGGGTGGTTTAGATGGGTTTAGGTTATAATCTGGGTTATTTGGGTGGTTTTAGGTGGGTCCGGGTTAAGGTGGTCGATATGGTGCCTGGGTTCAGGTAAGGGTTGGTTAAGGTTGAGTGTTTGGGTCAGGTGGGTTAAGGTGGGGGATCTGGTGGGTTTAGGTGGTGCATCTGGAGGGTTAAGGCGGGTTAGTTGGTTAGGCGTGGTGGCAGTGGGGGCTGCCAGTGGTGGTGCATGGTTTTTTTTCCTTAGATTTTTCGACGGAACTTTCCTTGAAAATCTCGGACATTTTTGACGGATTTTTCCCATGCTAGAAAATCCCTTCCGACGAAAAATATCGTCGGAAAAGACTTTTTTCCTACCAACCCATTTCTGACAACCATTTCCGACGGAAACAGGTTTTTCGACGGATTTCAGGGTGTTTTCGACGGAATTATTCTATCAGAATTGAGATGTTTTCTAGTAGTGTTTCCTAAAAGACTAGGCAGTTTAATATGATGCTTTAATTTTGAAATAGAAGTATGTACTTAATTAAAACTAGGAATCTAAACAAAAAAGAAGCCATCACAATCGATGACAATCGAATTTTAACCTACTTAATTTAGGAGCTATATGTACAATAGCACTCCCAACCTTGTTGAATAAAGTTTTACGTACTCATTAAGATCATTAAACTATCACAAACTATTGGGTGCGGACGTCCACTCCCATAGTTTTGTGCGGGAGATGACGATGACGATGAAGACGACGATGATGATGATGATGAAAACGACGACAATAACGGTGGATGATGACGATGACGATCGACGATTGAAACCCTAGATTTGAAGCTAACGGCTGGTATAGTGGAGTTCCCTGTTGGTTTATGCGGTTGGGCACTCCGCTTAGATACGCGTCTGGTCGTGGCTGCGGCTGGGATCCGGCAGGAGCTACGGTGTGGCTGTAAAGTGTGCTCGTAGCAGGGCAGCAGTAGAGGAGGGGTGGTGGCTCATAGCACGGCAACAACAGGGGAGGGGTTGTGGCTCGTTGCAAGGGAGAAGTAGGGGAGGGTGGTGACCTACGGGCAACATCAGCGGAGGGGTGGTGGCTTGTAGGGCAGCAACAGGGGAGGTTACAGTGGTGGCTCGTAGGGCAGCAGCAAGGGAGGTTAGGGTGGTGGCTGGTTGGGTGTGGCGTGAGGTTACGATCGTGAGGTTATGGTCGTGGTTTGTTGGATCTTGAGTGGGACATGGCGTGAGAAACAAAGAGAAAGAAATAAATATAGTATTATCATATTACTAACAAATAACTCATATAAGCTAATTGATGTCTGATATTAGTCAACATTAGGGACATATAAGATATTAATAAAAACGTATAAGCCAGCAAATTAAAAGGAATCTATCAGCCAACAACAGATACATAAAAGCCAACAAGAGGAGTATATCAGCCATCAAAATATACTTATCATCCAACAGAAGGAACATATCAGCCAATAAATGAAGCGAATGAATCAGCCAATAAAATGATGAAATCAACAAACAAAAGAAACAGGTAAGCAAACAAAATAAACATTTCAGCCAACAAAATAAAACATATAAGCCAACAATTAAAATATACATATCAACCAAAAAAATAAATATGAGCCAATTAAAGAAACATATAAGCCAAATGATGTATGATATCATCCAACAAAAGAAATCTATCAAATTTTTTTACAAAAAAATATATTAGCCAACACAAAAATCATATCAGCCAACAAATGAAACATATCAACCAACACATGAAACATATCAACCAACAAGTAAAACATATCAGCCAAGCCAGTCGCATGTAAATTTGCATGCGGAAATCTGCACGCAATAGCTTCTTTTAAACTATCAAGCTAAGTATTGGTTTTTTTTAACAAGAAAAATGAAGGAAATTATAAACAAAATAATGTTGCTTCAATTCCTGTAATAAATTTCTCTATAATATAATTATTTCGGTCTTCCACCCTATTTCAATTATTTAGTTGCCTTATTATGGTAAACTAGTGAGTAGCTCGGGCATTGCCCCGGGTTTCTAGTGTTGTCGACGTACAATCGATAAATTTGTGTAAAGGGTTTTCAAAACTGTAATTGTCATTGTCAAATCATAATTGAGTTATTCTTTGAGTATCTTATTTTTTTTATTTTTTTTTATTGAATATTGTGATTTACACTTATATAATCATTTTTACTTATTAATAACATAGTTGATCATTGGCTTGCATGGCTATATAGTCATCTTTGATAAGAGAGGTTGAGGGTTCGAACCTCTTTATCCTTATATTTTTATATTGAGCGATGTTGGTTGCTTGTGTGATGTGACATTGTTTGGGTGATCACGAGGCATCATGAATGTTGAGAAGATGACGTGGCGGGATTATGTGGCAAATCAACGTTCTTAAGAACGCCTTTTAATAGATCAGTATAGATGAGAAGCCCGACTTTATCATCATAATAAACAAAAGTCGTACCTTTAATGCCGTTTCTGTTAATAAATCAACAAATAAAATTCAAATTAGCATGACATTTTCATAAACTAATTATGGTCCCACATTTTTAATAAAGAAAATTGTTGAATTATTTACAGAATGCCACTAGATATATAGTTTTTTTTAATCATAATAAATTTGAATTGTATTTTTCCATGTTATACCCTATTCATAGATCAATTTGACTAAAGGACGGATACATAAATTACAATGTAATTTTAGTTTTAAATAATTTGCATAAGGTAATTAATATAGTGTATAAAAGAAAATCTTAAATTTGGGAATGACTTATATACTCTATCATTAACTTTAGCGTCTAAAAACAATAAATTTGTATTTATTGATTCCTTACTTACTCAAATAATAGAACCTATGTGTATTAGTTTATGAAAACAAAAACTGTAATACTACGCAAAAGTTATTAACGAAACCATAAAAGTAGGTAGTTATTCAGCCAAATTATATTAGCTCTAGGTAAATTTTCATGTATCCTTTAATATAAAACCAAACTATACTTACAATGGTATATTACAATCACGAGCTTCCCATCTCCATTTTTGGTACTCCGAATCCGGCCTCCCGTTATTTTTGCAGCTCATCTTCTCCTCGACGAATGGACACTTCACTGAATCATAGCTAGGAATTTCTTCAGGATTATAAACCCATCTCCCCTCAAACATATTGCACTTCTTTCGACTTTTGGTTTTCATCTTTTCCATCCCATTAAGGGTGAAGTTTGAAGGGTTAATCGAAATAATTGATGGAATTGATTTAAAACGAGTTAACATAGCATTTCTAGCTTATGAATAATAACTCAGGTTTTTGTGAGCATTGTCAACATATAGAAAAAAGACTAGGAACCCAATTAAGGTTACAAGTAAGTAAAGTTTCCATGTATACAAAATGTAGGGCTTGGATTCCATGACTTAACATTAAAATGTAACGTTTTTTGGTTGCCTAAATAAAATGTGTTAGAACTTGGAGTTCTATAATTGGTATGTATATATATATAGTATCAGAAATAATTCTATAATTGGTAATATATAGATAGAATAGTAGGTCAACTTTGTATTTTAGGTCTATCTATGTAATGATTTTTCACATGCACATCAGCACATGCATGTGGTTAGTAATATGGCAAGTGCTAATTATTCAACTTATTATCTTAATTACTGTCTAAAAACCTACTTCCGCGCTTTTGAAAAATGATTAGATTAATTCCTACTTGCTACTATATACCATGTTCTTACAAATATTTTTTATAAATATTAATAATAAAAAAAATGAGACTCTTGGTCTTATTAGTACATGAATAATTTTACGTGGACCATTTGATTTGAGCTGAAGAAAAGTACAGCTCACTCAATTAATTACACTTAGTTTGCAATGTAAGTTGATTAGTAGAAAATGTAGAAGTATAACTTTATTGTTATAATACCAGTAACAAGTAGGGAATGAATACAAGAATCGTATTACTTAGATCCATGCAATCAAATTGTAACCAAACTAGGTTAGTTCCCGTGCCATGCACGGTAATTTTTAATAATCATTATTAAACTATCATTATAATCAATTTTTATAAAGCAAAAAAATTAAAAAAAAAAATAAAAAAAATTCTAAAAATATTGACAAATTTTGAACAAAATAAAGGAATACGTAAGATATATTAGATATAAAACGATGTTGAAAATTAGTAAAATAAAGGAATTCACAAATTGTGAATTAAGAAATTTTAAATAGCTAAAATATATGTCAAATCTTTTTTATTTTAAGTAATTATATCGTATAAGATTAGAGAATTATTTTTGTAAATAAATTTTGTTTCTTTAATTAAATTTTATTCAAAAAAAAACTAAGGACATACCAGAAAATAACACGTGTCATTGTTGGTGTGTCTTTTATTATACAGTTATTGATTATCCAAATAAAAGTTTAAATATAGAGCAAACCTTCTAAGAAGGATCCCTCATTTAATTAGCAGGTACACTCTAAAGAAATGAAGTCAAAATACTAGTAGGCCAAACTAGATTGGACAGGCGATACTAGATAGAGACGAGGGACTCGAAACGATACTACCTTTATCCCAAACTAGAGCCCTATTTATCTTTTGTACTTCCCCATTTACCTTTTATTGCAGAGTTAAGCATAAAACTGGCAGGGCCGTCCCAATAAAATTGGAGGCCCTGTGCAAAATATAGGCATGAGGCCCTGCCTTGTAACCTATACTCTTAAATTCCTAATTTGTACGAATTATGTAACAATTAAAGGTCATCAACCATTCAATCTACCAGTCTTTTACATAATAAAAAAAAATTAAAAATAATAATTAAAAAAAACAAAAATTAGGAATATAGGAAAATATATTATTGTGATATTTTTCCATATAGATCTTATGATATTATATTTAGGATAATAATATATCTTAGTGATATTCTAAGATAGATTTATGGAAGTTTATATGATAGAGTTTATATTGTGTAGGTTATCTTTTGTATGCTATAAATAATAGCCAAGATCATCAATACAATTCAAGCTATTCTCTCATAAATAATTTGTCATGGTATGGTATCAAGAGCAAGTTAAATTTTGGGACCGCTCACAAAAATTCCCCCCCCCCCCACCGGTGGGATTCAAAATTTTGCTTCCGCTATGCAATATTAATACTCTTATTTTTATTTTTTTTGGGTTGGTACACGTTAATCATATGTGTATGTGAATTTTTTTTTTGGGAGAATTTTTTTTTTGTGGGAGTATGTGAGTGGACTTCCTCCACTATAATACATCTTTGGAGATGAAGACATTAAATAGCGTTATATTTGACGCAATATTTATAAAAAAAAAAAATCGGCTCTCTTGTGTCGTGAGACAAGATATATTTAGTTCTCCTTGTGCCGTAAGACAAGGTTTGTGAGTTGATTCGAGCATGATTTTGCTCCTTTGGATATGAGTGTGGTTTACTCCGAAAAACCAATAAAAGATTTGAGTGTGGTTTACTCTGAAAGACCACTAAGAGATTTGAGTGTGGTTACTCTGAAAGACCAATAAAAGATTTGAGTGTGGTTTACTCTTAAAAAACCAATATTTGATTGGAGCTCGGTTTTGCTAGGTTCGAAAAGAATGACGTTTCTGTTTGATTGATGACTGATGAGTTCGAAAAGATGAACGTTCTCATCGTTGAAAATAAAGAAACAAAAAATTTGAAGGTGACATCAACAGAGAGGTGCAACTCGATCGACTTCAACAAAGTGCGAATTTCCAATCATAACATTCGTGTTACTGTCGTTACGATTGCGGGATGGTGTTAGAAATATAGGAAAATATATTATTGTGATATATTTTTCATATAGATCTTATGATATTATATTTAGGATAATAATATATGTTAGTGATATTCTAAGATAGATTTATGGAAGTTTATATGATAGAGTTTATATTGTGTAGGTTATTTTTTGTAGGTTATAAATAATAGTCAAGATCATCAATACAATTCAAGCTATTCTCTCATAAATAATTTGTAAAAACCCTTCTACTGAAACAAATTTTTTGCACACGTTATACAAGTATACAACATTAAAACCTAACCATGTACAGTAATAAGTTAGACAAAAGCATTAATTTTTTTTATTAAACAAAATAACAAACTATTTATAGTTAATGGGTAAGCTTCAAAATTTATACATCGTATATAATTACTCAATTAGTTTCATATAAGAGTTAAATTAGAAGTCATACATTTCAATTTGGCGACGAACAAGCAATTTGTGATTGCCAAAATTGTCCGCTTCAGATAAGCTAAGAGAGGTTTACTGATTGAGCAATTGTAGTTGAAATTGGAACAATTAAAGTAGATAATCGAATTTTAGCCAGTTGAAAGTGGTTATTAATTTTTGTAGGATACTCAATCTGATCTTTGTATTTGGGGAGGGGTTTTGAAATTTCAGAAGAAAAATATGAAGAGTAAATAAAAAATAATTAAAATTTATGAAAATTAGGTCATTTATTAATTAATAGAAAAAATTTAAAATTGATGGGAATAGGGAAGGAATTAATGTTCATTAAAGGGAATTTTGGGAGCAAGACTGAATTAATGCCTATTTATATTTACTAAACATATAAAGATGCTCTATTGCATATGACAGCTCTACAATTGTACGCCTATATTGCGAAGAAGAAACTAAAAATTGGGCCTCTAGAATTTTGGGCCCTGTGCAGGTACTCACCCTGCACACGGTAAGGGTCGGCCCTGAAAACTGGGTACTATTTTTTTGCATTTTTCACCTTTTGGGTATTCTATGTTTTTTTTTCACCTTTTAGGTACTCAAGTTAAGAAACTGGTGACTTAACCCAACATAAACCCACCGGAAAAGAACACCGTACCTTAGCTAATTAAATGCAAAAAAAACTCAGTCCCTTCATTGAATTATTCATATATGACAATTATGAGGGGACTAAGTTTTTGCGTTAAAAATTTAAAACCTTTATAATATTGTGTTCATATAATAAAATTATTTCTCTTAAGTTTAAAGATCAAAATTTATACTAATTAACATGGATAATCGCACACACACCAAATAACGGGTGGTTCAATTGGAATAAAACATTGCACAAGAAGCAGTAACTCCATGTCTCTTGTAACACTCATCTTTACAAGGAGCATCAAGTAGTTTATCATGATCGCAACACAGGTGTAATCCATGGGAATTATTCCACACATTCTTTTCCTTCCACCATCATGTTCATGCTTGCTTTCTCTATACAAAATATTAATTTAATTAGTTTAAATTAAGTATCAATCAACGTCATTAAAGTCGGAAATTCTATTTTTAATCGAAAAGGGCTTTCAGAATCGAAAGCTAACATGCATAATCAAGACATCATAGTCAAATATGATTGAATGTGTTTGTATAAAACTTAATACGGGTAATGTTTCAAAAAAAAAAAACTTAATACAAGTAATATATATATATATATATATATATATATATAGTTGCTATATACTAGTATTATTTACTAAATAAGTTAGTAAACTTATAATGTTTTTGTCCATTTAAAAAAAAAAAAACTTATAATGTTTTCGTTATTTAAGAAAAGTATGTAAAATCGGAAAATATCGTAATTCGAAATCATAAGGTCATATATGAATAATTAAATCATACTCCGTAAGATTCAATGATTTGAATTGTGATTTCAATAATACAATAATGCAAAATAGTATAGAAAAAACCCATTATGAGGGGACTCAGTTTTTTCGTTTCCCATGGTCTTTTTTAAGTGGGTCCCACGTGTTAACCAAGGTACTCAGTTTTTAACTCACCTTTGGTTAACTTTTGGCTGGAAAATGTCTTTGAGTACCTAAAAGGTGAAAAAAAAACATAAAGTACCCAAAAGGAGAAAAATCTAAAAAGATAGTACCTACTTCTATACTTAACTCTTTATTGCACCATAAGTAATTCTACACTATTCACTTAATCTTCTTTTACCATCTTTTGTGATTTATCTATTAGAAAAAATATAATTATGTGGGATCTAGTTACATTCATCTTAAAATTTACTTTTCAAATATCAATTTTTTATAATTTTACAAAAGTATAATTAAAGATATTAATATCCAAGAGTGAAACCCCTTATGGTACAATAAAAAAAAACGGATGAAGTATATGTATTAATTTAATTTGCAATTAAATTACTACATATTTTAAAACATTTGTTAAAAATTTAACTAGACCATTTTTTTTAATCAGTTTTTTTTGTATGCAATTAAAATTTAGAACCTTACATACATTCACTTTCTCTCATTTAGTTTTAAAACATTTGTTCAAAAAAAATTATAAATTTTAAAACATCACATAATTGTTTTCAACTTACCTACTTGTTTTTTGGGACATCCCCATACAAGTGAAGGAGCTCGATGCTTGGCTAAACATCAATTTTATTTTATTTTTACTGGTGAGTCACGTGCACCACTTTGCACATAAATAGGTAGGGTGAAGTTGCTATGTTGTGGCAAGGAGATTGTTAAAGTTATTAGTTTTTATGCTCTCCAAGTTGGTTTTGACGTAGAGGAGAAACGGTAATTTTGGGAGGATTTATATGAGGTAGTACAGGGTGTCCCCCACACAAAGAAATTATAAATTTGTGGTGATTTAAATAGGCATGATGAGGTAATAAGTCGAGATGGCTTTGAAACTGCTCATGCATGCATGGAGGCTTTATGTATGGGCATAGGGACACTAGTGATGATACTATAATGGATTTTGCCCAATTATATGACTTAATTTTGGCTAAGACTTGGCTTAAGAAGCGGGATTCCCACTTGAAAACTTTTGGAGTGGAGCAAACACAACTCAAATAGACTTCAATTCTTGATTACAAGTAGTGTTGTTTGGGACATTTAAGTGGGTCGGAGCGACATTTGTAAAAGGGCCCTTAAGTATAGTGACATTTTTTTTATATAAATAGTACATCAAAAATGTATTTTATGAATTTTGTACTATCTTTGTTTCATATTATTTTTAATAGCTGTAAAAATGAATGCATATTTTTCTTTTATTTGCAACAAATTATTTTTTTTTTCTGAAGTTGTCATTTGTCTCTCTTATATAACATTTGTATCCTATGTTTCTTTTCTCAATTAACAATCACATAAATTTTTTTCCAAGAAGTCTATGTATCCTTCCAAAGTTGCATATTGTAATAAAGGAGGTAATATTATTAAAAAAGTTTGCCAAAATTATAGATGCATAGTCACTTGAGATTTGGCTAATTCTTCTTTCTAATTTTTCTAATTAACACTTTATTTGTACTCTTATGCTATATATTAAAAATAAAAGTTATGAAATTAGGTACACTAAAGACTTTTGAGGGACATAAGTATAAATTAAGGGGTTAGAAAATGAGAGAATTAGATAAAAAGGTTAGACACGGTACACCTAAAATAGGTGTACTTTTATAGTTAAAAAATTCATAAACTAATTGTTGCGGATAGTTTGTGCAGCAATCTTTTTCCCTTCAAACACATTACCCATTCATATCAATTCTCAAAGAAATTGTGATTTTAGGTCCCATGCAAAATTCGCACGTACAACGTTATGCTTGAATCAGGCAACCAAATCAAAGATTGAATCGAAAACCCCTCAAAACGGAGATGAAAAAGTTCGATCTGCGATGGATGGTGGACGAATATGACAATGGACGAAGATGACAATGGATGAAACTACTACAATCGAAACTACTTCTTTTATGATGATTCGTTTCGATTGCTTCACCATCGCACCACCAAATTGACCTCTCATTCTAAATCGGCTGAATTTGTGAGATTTGCGGGTGGTTGTGGGTTTGGTGGATGTGGGATCGATGGTTGCAGTTGGATACGGTTGTGTAAGTTTGGAGGTCAATCGATGGTTGTGGGTTGGTGATTAGTTGTAGTGGTGTGAGTTTGGAGGTGGCTCGGTGGTTAGTGGTATGGAATTTGGGGCTGATTTGAGAAAGAAAGAGAGGAAGAGGGGGAAAGACGAGAGAGAAAGAAATGAAATAAACCCATTCTCATTTGGAGCAAGAGAAAGAAAGAGAGGAAGAGGGCCAGGCAAAAGAGGAGAAAGAGAAGGAAATGAAAGTATATTGTATGTTCTTAATCGTAGTAGCCAACAAATGATGCATATCAGCCATTAAAATGAACATATTAGCCAATTGATATCAGGCATTAATAAAACGTATCCGCTAACAAAAAGAATATATCAGTCAACTAAAGTTACATATTAGCCAATAAAAGGAATATATCAGCCGCAAAAAGTTGCTTATCAACCAATAAAATGAACATATCAGCTAACAAATGAAGCATACCAGCCAACAAAAGAATGAAATCTGCAAACAAAAGCAACTGGTAAGCCAACAAAATAAACATATCAACAAATAAAATGAAACATATTATCCAACAAATAAAATATACATATCAGCCAACAAAATAAAGATAATAGCCAGCTAAAAAACATATTAGGCAAATGATGTCTGATAGCAGCCAACAAAAGGAATATATAAAAAATTTATAAAAAAATATATCGGCCTGCAAAATAATATATTAGCCCACACAAAAATCATATCAGCTAATAAATGGAACATATCAGCCCCAAGAAGTGAATTATATCAACCAAGCCTACCGCACACAAATTTTTGTGCGGCAACCCGCACCTAATACCTTCTCTATAAATTTTTTTAATTATAGCAGAAGAAGGTCTAAAACCCCAAAAAAAAACATGCTTCTCAATTTTTACTTTGTTTTATTATTTACATTTTTTTAATGAATTAGAATTCTATTTTAAAAAAACTAAAAGATGTGGGTCCCCTCAAAATGGTGGCCCTGAGCTATTGCTCAACCTTTTCATGCTAAGATCCGACCTTACCTGTAAGACCACTCTCAATGGTGAGCAAAAAAAATGCTCACCCACTCTCTCTACACCCACTTTCTCTCTCAAGAAATAAGTTTTGCTCATGGGCAAATTTTTTTCACATATTCTCTCCCAATGGTGAGCAAAAAAATTGCACACCCACCACTCTCTCTCTCTTACTTTTTCAATACCCCACCATTACTTTCTCTCTCCTACACAACACTTCTTTATTTATTTATTTCATTTATATTTTAACAATGTTACTCCAAATAAATAAAAACTAGTTAAAATTTGTGTAACTTATTTTTTTTTATTTTTGTCCTTTTTATCGTTAAAATTTGTCGTAAAATTAAGTACGTTATATAAATTTTTTTTTAAAAAAAGCTCAAAATTTCTTAAATGTTTTTATTTATTTTAAAAGCGGTACAATACTAGAAACCAATTACATTTGCAACGTCATGCGTAATTAAACTTAGGAAATAAAATAAACACAACAAGTAAAAGTAGCTACGCCATAGTACTTGGCTTTATTTAAGTCGTGCTAATTTCTCCCTAATTACGTGGCCCGTAGTGTTGCCAAATATGTTCGACTAAATCACGTTTCAGAGATAGATGAATTTCTCTGTCACGGAGGGAAGCTTTTCGCTGTAGAAATGCGTTGAAATCAAAGTTGGTAGGTCGGCCTACGTTGAATTCAAACGGTGGCGTTGTAGATGTTGATGCTGGTGTTGATTCTTGTTGATCTTCTTCGTAGAAGGCTCTTAGAACTTCGGCTCGAGTGTAGTTGTGGCGCTCATCTTCAACAATCATGTTGTGCATAATGATACATGCTTTCATTATGTCCCGCAGTATGTCCTCATCGTACGCCAGCGACGGTTTTCGTATTATTGCAAATCGAGCTTGCAACACACCGAAAGCTCTTTCAACGTCCTTTCGAGCGGCAGCCTGGTGGTCAGCGAACATTTTATCTTTGGCCAGTTGAGGGAATGTGATACCCTGAACAAAAGTTGCCCACTTCGGATAAATGCCGTCGGCTAAATAATAAGCCATGTTGTATTCATGGCCGTTAACCGTAAAATTTACCGGAGGAGCTCGACCATGCAGAACCTCATCGAACACTGGTGAACGGTACAACACATTAAGATCATTACAAGATCCGGGAATACCAAAGAAGGAATGCCATATCCATAAATCCTGATCCGCAACGGCTTCCAGTATTAGCGTTGCTTTCTTGTTCCTACCGGCGTACTGCGCTTTCCAAGCCGTTGGACAGTTCTTCCATTCCCAATGCATGCAATCAATGCTGCCTATCATGCCTGGAAAACCACGCATTTCATTTTGATGCAGTATCCGGGCCAATTCATCAGTTGTAGGGTTTCGCATGTACTCGGTTCCGAACTGGTCAATGACCCCGGCACAAAAACGTTGTAGGGCAACTCGAGCGGTTGACTGACTGATTCGAACGTATTCATCAACAGCGTCTGCAGCCATGCCATAGGCTAACATTCGTATCGCGGCTGTACATTTTTGCATAGGTGATATGCCTAACTTTCCAGTTGCATCCCTACGTTGCTGGAAGTAAACATCACCTTCAACGACCTTGTTCATTATACGTAAAAACAAAGGTCGTTGCATACGAAATCTTCTTCTAAATTGGGTGGTATTGTACACAGGATTATCGGAAAAATAATCATTGAACAGCCTGGCATGTCCCATTTCCCAATCTCTTCTGTTCGTACCCCCTCTACGTGATTTTGAAGTACGTTGGGATTGTGTTTGGGGCATGAGGAAAGATGTGGGTTGGTATGTGAAGAGTTCATCAACGAGTTGATCATATTCTTCATTATTGGAAGAAGATGAACTTGAACTTGAACTTGATGATGGTCTGGAATACATCATGTATTAATATTGTAATTTTCTGAATTGGTGTGGTTGTGGATATGTGCCATGCCTACTATATATAGCAAATAAATCAAATGAATATGTGGTTACAAATCTGAATGACCACACCAACTAAAGCATTCAAATTTTCAGCCACGGAATAGGTATACTATGCTAGTTGACAATGACAAATCTTGACAAAGTGAATTCAGAACAAAAGTGACTACACCATGTCGGTATGAATGACCTAAAGTTAAAGCATACTGACAAAGTTAATTCAGAAACATGTGACTACACAATGACAAAAATGTGACTACATGTTAAACATAAAAGACTACATTGCGCATAATTAAAAACTTAAAAGACTACATTGCGCATAATTAAAAACTTAACTAATACAAGCGTACACCTACTACAACCAAACATGCTTATAAGCCCTGTAATTTACCCAGTAAGAAATTCTTGTACGACTCTTCTTCAGGAGTGAGTGGCGTAGGCGAATTCTTCATAGCTTGCACCATATCAAACCAGGTTTTCATCTTATGAATGTCAAGTTCCTCCCTTTTCCTCTGTTCCTTCTCCCTTTCAATTTTGATCCGCTCTTCCTTCAGAATGGCCTCCCTCTCGCGAATTGTTGCCAATTCCTTCATTCGTTCGCTAAGCTCAGACGAACCACTGTCCGAAGCTACTTCTTTCCCTTTACTCGGGATTAGTTAGTAAATCATCACTAAAACCAGAAAATTGTTGACGGAAATTTGGGTTGTTTGGATCCATTAAAAGATTCTGCATCACAAAACAAAAGATAAATATTTTTACTAAGATTTACTCAAAAAACAAATTAAAATGACAACAAATCCAAAAAAATATCAACAACTTTATTAACCAATTCACATATATACTAATTTAAAGTCATAACTAAATTTTAATATTAAAAAAACAAATTAACCAATAATTTCAAGACTTTATTAACTACAAATTTAGTAATGTATGGAGAAAACATCAACAACTTTCTTCAATTACATAATGCAATTACAGTACATGGCCTACAATATTTTTTTAAAAAAAAAACACACATATACTAATTTTAATACATAACTACATGTATATATTTAAAATAAAATTAACCAATAATTGCAACACTATATTTACTACAAATTTAGTAATGTAAGGAGAAATTATCAACAACTTTTTTCAATTACATAAAGCAATTACATAACATGCCATACAATATTTTTTTTTTTTTCCAAAAATCACATATATACTAATTTTAATACATAACTACATGTATATATTTTTTTTTAAAAAAATAACCAATATTTGCAACACTTTAACTACAAATTTAGTAATTTATGGAGAAAATATCAACAACTTTGTTTAATTACATAATGCAATATAATTACATGGCTTACAATATTTTTTTTTCTTCAAAAAATCACATATATACTAATTTAATTACATAACTGAATTTAAATATTTTAAAAAAAAAATTTACCTCAATATGGATGTTTTGCAACAAATATATTCTTCTACAAATTTAAAATGCTTAAGAAAATAAAAAAGTGGAGGATTTTAGGTGATTACGAAATTATATCAAAACATATCAAAATGCATGTCTATTTATAGAGAATTTAATTTTATGACCGTTGGTAATTTTTTTTTTTTTAACAAATATATTTTTCGGAAAATCAGTTACAAATAATATTACCGTTGTAAACGGCTAGTATTTTCTCATTGGTCAATCCCCTGCGCAAGACACGTGGCGCGCTCTGATTCGCCAGCAATTCTGACGCGCCTCTGCCAGCGATTTTTTTTTTTTTTTTTTTATTTTCTAAGCGTCAAAACGACGCGTTTTGGAAGCGGCCCTTCAGACCACTCCATCAAAACGCGTCGTTTTGATAAGGGCCCAGCCAAATTTTTTTAATTGCGTCTGACCTGCTGTGGGGCCCACTTCCTTCACTGTAGCTACACGAAAATGCTCACTCTTTGGGCAAATTTCATTTTGCCCATGGGCTTTTTTTGGCTTGATCAAATTTTCTCACCTTCTACAATGGTGAGCATTTTATTTTCCCATCAAATTTGCCCATGAGCAAATAAAATGCTCACCATTGACATTGCTCTAAAGAGCATGGATATACAAAGTTGCTTAAATTGCAAGGTCATCCAAGGGAAATTGGCTATCATGTACAATTCATTTGAAAGAGAAGGTGAATAAAAAGGGAACACGAGAGGAGCCTATGGTAAGACGGTGGACTTTAAAGGGATGCAAATGCTAAGGTTTTTACTTAAAAAAAGTACTCAATTAAAGAAGCGAATTGATATGGAAAGGGGGATCCGAATGTGACATGGTTAAGAATGAAGAACTACTTTTTAAGAGTTGCTAAAGAGGTCTTAAGGAAATCAAGGGGAGACTTCGATGTGGAGAGATATATACTTCATGGTGGAATGAAGAGGTGAAATATTTAAGGTTGCGTTTGGATACTCACATTTCATTTGAAATCACTTATTTCAATTCCACAATTTCAATTTCTAGAATTCAATTCCAAGTTTCATGTTTAGCAAGTTAAGAATTTCAATATCTGGAATTGGCTAAGTAATTTCACTTTCTAAAAATGGCCAAGTTGATTTTTATTTCCCTATAATTTTATTACCACCAACAAAATAATTGATTTTTTTTCCACCAATTATTTTCAGAATATATATATATTTTTTTGCTTTTCGCTTTTTTTTTTTTAATTCTCGAATCATAACTTTTGTACGTAATTTTAATCAACAACTCAGAGAATTAAAATAACGAGGGAAAAAAACTACGAATTAAAGAAGAACGAAGAATAAAAAATCTGTAGTATAAGGGTACAAGATTCAATCAGCCGCATAAATCAACAAACCGAAACAAAACTAAAGCATGAATTGGGGGAAAACTTAACAATAATCCTTAATTTCATCAAATTGACAAAATTACACAACCAAAAACTGACAAAATATTTCGCTCCTTGCTGAACTTGGATTTGAGTTCCGCCATAGCAACTTGGAAATCGAGAATTGTGGTCTTCTTCAATTTTGTAAGATTATCACTTTAGAAGTGTAATTTTACAGTAGTGGAGGAGAGGAAAAAACTCTAGAAGAGAGAAAGCTTGCGTGAGAGTTGAGGCTGTGAGAGGTAAGAGAGCTTGAAGAGAGAGAAAGCTTGAGTGAGGGAGAGGCAGAGCACGAAGAGGAGAATGGCAGAGAGCACGTAGAGAGAGAGCAAATGTCGTTATTTCTGAGGTGGTGGGATTTCAAATGATGGGTTTTTGGATTGAATTTCAAATTCTGATATATGGCCTCATGTTTTAATTGGGTTGATATTGGGCCAATTCTAAATCCCAATGTTTAGATTACCTAAACATGAAAATTTGGCCAAATCCAGCATTTCAAATGAAATGCTTTAAACCAATTATGCCATAAGGGGAATTCCCATTGGTACCACACTACCACCCTTGTTTTGACTATTCCCATTGATACACTCTTAAAATTTTGTCTTTCCATCAGTACACCCGTGGTGTGGTCTTTTTTCCAACCGTGACTAACACCGTAAAACTATTTCATTAAGTTAAAATAATTAAGGAAAAGACTATAATACCCCTTTTAAACATCTAATGTCTCGATTTACGTGTCGAAAATTATTCGGTTAAAGTTTTGGGAGTCATTTAGTTCTTAAGTATACAAATTTACCTCAAATTTAGCAAAAAAAAATAACGCAAATGTCTCATATGCGTGTCAAGAAATGTCTCGGATTGCGTGTCGTTACTTTTTTGGGACAACAATTGTCCGGTTAAGGTTTTAGGGGTCATTTTGACTCTTTATGGAACTAAATCGAACTCAAAATTGTCAAAAAAATTACAAAAATGTCTCGTTTTACGTGTCATGACAAAAAAATTAAGAATTATCCTGACGTGCAAAAAAAGAGACATTTTTGTTAGTATTTTGACAATTTTGAGTTCGATTTAGACCCATAAAGGATTAAGATGACCCTTAAAACCTTAAGCGATAATTATTATCACAAAAAAGTAACGGCATGCAAACCGAGACTTTTCTTGACATGCATATGAGACATTTGCGTTATATAACTTAATGAAATATTTTGGGAAAAAGACCAAACCACGGTTGTACCGATGAGAAGGTAAAAATGTAGGAGTATATCAATGGGAAAAGTCAAAACTAGGGTGGTACCAATGGGAATTTCCCAATCTTTAATTATACAAAAAAGGGTATGCTATCAAGCCTTGGGAAATGTGAGAACGACAAAACTTTTGCTATCTATAAGGAGGCTAAGAGTAAGGCAAAAGCAATTGTTCGGAAAGCAGAAGGAAAGGCTTATTAGTAAGTTTATGAAAAGCTTAAATCTAAGGAGAGAGAAAAGGTCATTTATAAGATGGCAAAGTGATGAATAAAAAGTTATACCGCAAGTGCAATGTCTCAGTTGTTAGCAGAGACTTAGCAAAGTATGAGTTGAATCCCACATGGAGACAATTCTATTAGTTTCTGCACAATTATTTAAACTGTAGAAACGAAAAGTGATTTGATGATCAATTAACTAAATATGACAATAATGAAAAATATGGTTGTTCTCTGATAAATTAAAGTGT